CGGGCGCCGGGATCTCCTCCGCGCCCCAGGCCTCCCCGGCCGACTCTCGCCGCACCACGAGCGGAGGCAGGTCCGACGGTGCCGCCCTGGGCTCCGGCTCCGGGTCCGAGTCGGTCTCCGCGGCCTCCCCGGCGATCCGCTGGCCTGTGGCCCGGCCGCGCGTCGGGCCCGAAGGACCCAGGTACAGCTCCTCCTCCTCCGACGAGGACGCAGAGGGCTCCGAGTCCGTCTCGGCCGCCTCCCCCGACACCATGGTCCCCGACCTCCGCGGCAGCCTCCGCCGACGGCCCTGAGACGCCATGGCGCGGGGCTGGGAGACAAGAGCGGCGAAGCGGCGGGTGAGAGGAAGGCGCCGGGCAGAGCCGGCGCGGCCGCTCCACCGCTGCGATGAGCGATTTAGGGCGCACTGTCCGGGCTTCAGCTTCTTCTGTAAACTGGCGGATGACAGAGGACCCTGCGTCCCCGCCCCGTCAGCGTGCAGAGGGCTGGCGGACCAGTGCCCTGAGTCTCAGACCGAGTTCCCCTCCAGACCGCTTCCAACAGAGGCCGCAGCCTCCAGGCATCGGTCTCCGGCCCAGACTCACCGGCAAGCAGGGACCAGTGCCAGCCACAGACGGCACGCCCGGGCAGGGGACTCTGGGGAGCGTGAACTAACGGGCACCAGGGGAGACAAGAGCCGAGGGCCTTACCGGATCAAAGAAGCTCCGAGCGCAGAGGATCCGCCACCTCGCGGAAGTGCAGCAAAGAGGCCGTGGGAAGGCTGAAGTCTCAACCAATAGGAGCACAGATGGAGCAGGCGTCGGTGAAGTCACGAGGTGTAGCTTTGCTACCAATCAAAAAGCAAGTCTCTGCACCCACTGAGGGCGTGCGCAACAGCATCACGTGACAGAGGCATGGCCAATGGGGAAGCGGCTAAGCTTTGCGCTTCCGCGTTGCGCTTGGAAGAAAATCTGTAGTAGCCAACTAGAAGTTTTTTAAAAATGAGAATGTGAGGGGTGATGACATGTGCCTGGAATCCCAGAACTCGGAAGGCTGAAGCAGGAGGATCGCCGTGAGTTCCAGGCCAGCCTGGGCCATATAGTTCAAGGCCAGCCTGCACTACATAGCGAGACCCTGTCTCAAAAAAATTTTTTAAATGAGAATGACGCATAGTTAGTGATATGGAAATGAGAATGCTTGAAGATTCGGAAGCTGGGAAGGCACCGAGATAAGGACGGAAGATGTTATCACGTGTGGCCAATGAGAGGCGGAGTAGATCCTTCCCCTTGCCTCCCAAGCTCACAAGCCCGTGGCTTGAGCCCGCGCCAAGGAGGCGGGGCCAATCTAGACCACCAATGGAAGCCGGGGTAAGCGGCTCGCGTCCCCCGGAGGCGGAACTTGCTCAACCTGACCAATGAGAGCAGCAAGTGCTCGGGCAGTCCTTAGGCGAGCAGACTGGTGCATGGCGGATACGGTGCTGTTCGAGTTGCTGCACACCGAGATGGTGGCGGAGCTGTGGGCTCCGGACCCCGACCCAGGCCCGGGGGTGAGCGCCGGGCTCCGGGGGGAGAAGTCGCGGGCAGCGACAGAGAGGCCGAATGGAGGCCGCAGGAGTGGAGGGTCGGACTGCCGCCGGGTTCGAACCCTTGGCTCCGCCCCTGCCTCGCTGGGTGACTTTGGGCGCTGGCTTTTTGAAGTGAGGGTCGCGACAGTGCCTCCCTCGCAGCTTATACCTGAAATTGAGCGAGATGACTCAGGATAAAGCACTAGTTCAAGGCCAGCAGCATAAGCGGTTAGTAATTATAATAATTGCTATTACTGGGCGTGTACTGAGGATTCGCCTCCAACGCTCACTAATCGGTTTATTTTTATGAGTTACTGGAGATCAAACCATTGAACGCAGGACCTTCATACTGAGCTACGTCCCCAGGCTTTTTTGTTTTCTATTTTGAGATAGTCTCGCCAAGTCACCAAGTTGCCTAGAGGAGCCTCGAACTCTCGACCCTCCTCCCTCGGCCTCCCAGAGTGCTGGGATTACAGCGTCACCACGCTTGGCTTAATCACTTAATTTCTGTATACCTGTTTCCTCCTTTGCCACGTGGCATTTTAAGCGTACCCAAGGCTCAGAGTAGGAGGGACACTTATTCATTCGACACTTAGAGATCTTCTGTTGTATTCCAGGCATCGTTCTAAGAAAAATGCTGATCCCTGTGAAGCATATGTTTTAGTACAGGAGTTGAAGGGTAAAACATGCCCGAAGCCGGTGGGCAGCTCTATAAAGAGATCAGGGAAAGAAGAGGGATAGGTAGTAGATGATAGGGCAAGGCTTTCTGAAGAAGGGAAGAGAGGAAGCAGCAAGTCTCTGGCTAACTAGGGGAAGAGCATTCCAGGAAGTGGGATAGGAGGGAGGAGCATGCTTGGCATTTTGCAAGTTGCTTCTAATGAAGAATAAATGAGTTAAAACTTTGAAGCACTGGGGCCGGGGATTTAGCTTAGCAGCACAGCACCTGCCTGGCAGGCACGAGGTCATGAGTTCAATTCCCGGTACCGGAAAAAAACCCAAAAAAACAAAAAAAACTTTGAAGCACTTAAATGTCTAGCACATAACCCATAAAATATGGATGCGTTTGTTAGAAAAATCTGTTACTGAACTGGTCCTGTAGCTCAGGGCTAGAGCACTTGTCTAGTATGCATGAGACCCTGGGTTCCATCCCCAGCCCTGCAGACAAAATCTTAAGAAGAAAAATGGCCGAGGAGCCTCACAAACTGTAGGTGCATTATAAATGGGATAATGCACTCTGGTCACCTTTTTACCTAATTCTTGTGATCATGGTTGTTATCTATATGCAAGGCATTTTCATTGGCTCAGGTTTCCCTTCCCAGGTTAGGGCTCCCAAAGTGGGTGTTCCTTGTCTCTTAGGGTAGTGTCTTCTGAGTTCATTAATTCACTCAACAAACTTTTTACTAAGACCTGCAAGGTACCACCCTGTTGTAGGCTCAGAAAACCACACAAAAATCCTTCTCCTGCAGTGCATGTTACAATGAGGGCAAGTCTTACAAAGAAGTGAGTACAGTGTGTGGCCCATTGTGTAACTGCTGTAAGAGAAAGCTACTGCGTGCGTGCGTGCGTGCGTGTGTGTGTGGGGAGGGGGGCATCAGCCTTTGGCCCAGGCAGGGGTGTGACTGTCTTGGCTCCCCATTCTTCCAGGTGTTCAGACACCTGCCTGTCCAGCCGAGGGCTTCATCTCCCATCAGCTAGGGGCTTTCACTTGGGCTGACAGGCTAATCAAAGTGACACTGTGTTTCTCTGGCTCATTTACCAACCCCTTTCCTCCTGAGGAGGCCAGGAGGGGCATTTGTTATGGTTCTGTCCTGGTACACAGGGACTGTGAGGCGGCCGTCAGCCACTGCCACCCACCTGCTAAGTGTGGGGCACACCTGAACCTAAACCCAGCCATTCAGGCTGCTGGGCAGCAAGAGGGGACTTGTGTGGCCGGGACCTCCTGTGTCACGGTGCAGACCGTGGAGGGAGTTCCGTCCCTCCTCAGACCTCCCCCTGCCCTCCCGTGTGGCCAGTTGTATGCTGTGGAAGCCAGAGGAAAACAGGCAGGGGAGAGAAAGGAGCAGGCCGGTGTGGCCCAGCAGGAAGCTCTGTCATTGTCATGAGGCAGGCAAGGCCAAGCTGCCCGTGGCCACGCTGAGTGGGACACCTTGCTTTGAAATGGCAGCCTTTGCTCAGCGCCCCTGGTTTCCAGTGTCCCGGGTGAGTCGCAGCCTTTGCCACCCCAAGGTGTCACCCTGCCCACCCATCTGGGCTCAGTGTGACAGCCCGTGACCCGGGGGGCTCTGGGAAGTTTTCTGACCCTTTAGAGCCCATTTCCCTGTGTAAATGGAGTGGCTCCAGCATGAGGCTCCCTGCAAAGCCCCTGGCCTGGCTCAGGTCCTGCTGCAGGCTGAGCCCCGAAAATCAGGGCCCAGCGGAGGGACTCAGAAGCCTAAGCCTCCAGGCCAAGGGGAGGAGTGTGGCTGGGGACAGAAGAGAGAGGCTGCTTCTGGGAAGGCCAGGCCTCCTCCCAGGACTGGGTCTAAGCAGAGCAATCCTGTTCGGGTGCAGCTGTCCCGGGCACAGGCGGTGGCTGAGGGAGGAGGGCCTGGTGACTGCGGCCTCCCTGAGGAGCCCACAGAAGCGCACCCTCCAGGTCCCGCGGCCACCTCACACCTGCCCTCCTGCTTGCGTGCACAGGGTTCTGCCTGGGGCTGTTCCAGGGTTCCTGGTAGCCCCAGCTGGCCTGTGGTCCCTCTGCTCGGGGTCTCCCTGAGGCCTTCTCCAGCCTCCCTGGTACCTAGGCCCCCTCCCATCATGGGATCCTCACCTGCCCCCCATATCACCGCAGTGTCGCTCCCTGAGCCCCGCGTGTCCTCCCAGGGATCTTGGCCGGCTTTGTCAGGCCTGACAGTCTCACGTGACTCCACAGTCCCCTTCTCGTGGCCCAGCCTGAGCAAGTCACCAGTTGTCGTCGCAGTGTCCCCATTTAAGGACTCCCAGTGAAGTGCTCTGTGTGGGGTGGACACCACCCGAGAGCCTAGGAAGCCCCGTGGTCTCTGGAACAAGGCCTGTGGGGACCCTGGGAGGGGGTGGGCAGCCCTCTGAGGCCCTCATCCCTCAAGGCCAGGCTGGGTGGAAGCCCCTCCTCCCAACCTCACCAGGGACTGCCTGGCATGCAACTCTTAAGGTCCCTCAAAGCTGTGGCCCCTGGCTGGCCCCTGGTGACAGGTGACCGAGGGCTCTCTTCTCTGGCCTTCTAGGGACAGAAGACGAGCCTGTCCGTACTGGAGAGCATGGGCTTCCGTGTGGGCCAGGCCCTGGGTGAGAGGTGAGAGCTGACACCCCCTGCCTCCCCTGCTTTGGCTGGAGAGTCAGCAGGACCAGAGGGGGGTTTCTGACTGGGCCCCAGTTCCTCACCTGGGGCTCCGGCCTGGCCCTCCAGGCTGCCCCAGGAGACCCTGGGCTTTAGGGAGGAGCTGGAGGTCCTCAAGTTCCTGTGCAAGGACCTGTGGGTGGCCGTGTTCCACAAGCAGATGGATAGCCTCCGTACCAATCACCAGGTGGGTGTGCCGGGCGCCCGCCCGCCCCAGCGCCCTAGGCCTCCAGGTGCAGGGCAGAGCTCAAAGCCAGGGCAGCCAGGGTGGAGCGCGGGAGGGAGGCAGGGCTGCAGTGGGGCATCAGGCTGTATGCAGAGTGGCGGGAGCCTGACAGTACCCGACCTGGCAAGTCACTGCTTGCCTCATGCTGGCGCAGGCTGCCATCGACTGCCCACGCCAGCTCAGCCCCCAGCTGGGTCAGGGGCCAGGGCGCCAGCTGCCCAGCAACCCTGGGAGGTGAGGCCTGAGGGGCGGGCAGAGCTCAGAACAAGGGGCTCCTGACGCGGGTGACAAGGGAAGGGTCCCAGCCCGCACGGCCCCTCTCCTCCCAGGGGACCTACGTCCTGCAGGACAACAGCTTCCCCCTCCTCGTCCCCATGGCCTCGGGCCGGCAGTATGTGGAGGAAGCACCCAAGGTACAGGGGCTGGGGCCTCACCCTCCAACCCCACCGCCCCCCGACCCCAAGTGAGACCTCTTCCCAGACCCGGGGGTGTCCCAAGGCCTGGGACCTGGTGCTGGCTTCGCCTCTGCCACAGTGGTCTGTGTCCCCTGCCCCAGTTCCTGGCCTTCACCTGCGGCCTTCTGTGCGGCGCCCTCGGTACCCTGGGCTTCCAGAGCTTGGTCACCGCCTCCGTGACAGCCCTGCCTGCCTGTGAGTCTTGGCAGCGGTGTCTGTGCCCCTTTGGCGGGGAGGGCTCCACACTCTTCCAGCCCTGCTCGATGTGGGTGCTGGAAGGTCAGCCCAGGCCACAGAGCCCCATCTGACACGTGGAACTTGAGGCCCTGAGCCCTCAGTCACCAGGCCAGTCCGTGCCTGGGGCAGCCCCTGTGCTCCCTGGGTGGCCACACTGCCTGAAGAGAGACCATCTGGCATCGTGGACAGAACCAGCAGGACATTCGGACACCCTCCTAGACAGTTCCCGTACTGGGGGGCGAGAGAGATGGGTGGGCACACACAGCCCGCCCGTGGGTCTTCCTGACTCCCTGGGTGGGGGCTTCCAGGCCGCAGAGCCCAGCCATGAGCTAAAGCCCTGTCCCTCCAGTGCGCAGCCCCACGGCCTACGGCTGTCTGTAGGGGGCTGGCTAACATCACCCTCTGCCAGTTTCCTGGGGGGTTGGGGGCACCTGTGGGCAGGGCCTGAGCAATGCATGCCATGGAAGTCCATGCAGGGCCCCTCCCCGGCTTCCTACATGCCTGAATTCCGTGTCCCCAGCACCCACATAATGCTGGGGTGCAGCCTGCTGGGCGGGAGCATTACCCCCTTCGGCCTACTCACTGAGCAGAAGGAGCACCGCCCCAGGCCACCCAGGCTGTGGCGCAGGGCTGGGATGGATGCTGAGCTGCTGGGTGCTTTCTGCCTCCCCACAGCTCCCAGCCACACTAAAGGCAGCCCTTTCCTTCCAGGTAAGTTCCAGGTGGTGATCCGGAAACCCTGAGGGCCCGAGGCCTAGCCCTCCCCCTACAAGAGACGGCTGTCACCTTGCCCAGGACCCCAGGGGTGGATGGTCTTGGGACTGGCACCGCCGGGGATCCTGAGCTCTGGGGTTGCCCCTGCCCAAGAAGGGGTATCCCAGGGAGGTAGGGGACATGGGAGGTGGTCCCACAGTGGGGGCTGGAATGGAGGAATGTGGGTCGTGCCACTCCAGGCAACAGGCACTCAATAAAGATTTTTTGGATGGTTCAAAGTGAAGGAGTGTCTCTAATGACTGTCCTGTGTTCCATTGGGGGACAGAGCACCCTCTGCACCCACAGTCCCCCACTTTCTGTGCTCCTGGTCCCCAGCTGGTAGCCTGGGGCCAGGAACTCATCACCTCCCCCAGGTACCCCCCCCACCGCCGCTGCCTCGGCATCTCTGCCAGTCAGCAAGTCTGGGGCTGCCCTCTGCCCGGCAGGGTGCACGAGCGCAGCCTCTCCCTGGGGAGCCCGGACACCCTCATGCTCTGCCCCTATCAGGTACTCAACATCCCGCGCCAGCAGCCTCTCAGACACAAGTCAGACCCATGGCCATGGCCTGGTCAGTCCCTGAGCAGTGCCAGCGTCTGTGTTCACCCTGCCACCTCGTCCTGTTTGCGTTTGCAGCCTCTGGGGCCATCACACACCTGGACTCGTGCCTGGGTCACCTCCTACAGGTAAGAACCCAGCCTCACAGCCATAAACGGGCTGGGGTGAGACCCCTGGGCCTCCTGGCTCAGCCCCCACAGCTGTGCCCCTCAGCCTCCAGCAGCCACCCACCTCTGCTGACCCCACCGACCACCTCACCCTTCCAGGCCAGCCCTGGGAGCCCCATCCCGCCCCGAGGTTCAGCTGCAGTGCCCCCCACGATACACACTTCCCCTGCATCCCGGTGGGGATGGGCCGGCACGTTCAGGGGCAGGGGAGGAAGGAGGAGGCAGAGAGGAAACAGAACCGGCTGGAGGAGGAAGGAGCCGGGGCAGTGCGGCTGCCTGGGCAGAGCCCCAGCGGGAGGAGACAGCACCCCTGGCAGCTCCTCCGTCACCATCAGATCACGCAGCCCTGGGGAAGGCCTGCGCCCTGTGTACCAGCGCCACAGGGAGATGGCTCTAGGAAGCAGAGGGACCCTCAAAGTACCAGACCCTTGCCCAGTACCACCTTGGTGAGGTGGGAGCTCTGACCAGCAGGCAGGAAGCTGAGCCTGGGGACTCAGGGGCCACCTGTCCTCAAGTCCCCGCTCTGCCTTGGGCTGGTGTCACATAAGTGGCTACCGGCTCTGGGCCTCGGTTTCCTCATCTGTGAAGAGGGTATCACAGCAGCCCCTCAGATGGTGAGGAAGCACAGAGCTGCCGAGTCCGTGCCAGGCATCTGGAGCAGCGGCTCGTAAGTGGGTCAGCCGGCCGGCACCTGTCAGCACCCGCCGGCGCTAAGGGCCGGGACGTGGGCTCGGCGATGCCTCCTGATAACCTTGAGAAGAAGGTGCCGGCCGGGCCCACTCAGCAATGAGGAAGCCAAGGCCCAGAGCGGTGAAGTCACTTGCCCACGGTCACACAGCTGGGCCGGGAGGAACTGGCCGTGTGTTCTCCCTGAGACTTGTCCTCGCAGCCCCTGCCCACTGCCCCCGCCAGGAGTGCCCAGGGCTGTGTGGGTGCCGTCCCCATCCCTCTGCTGGGATGCACTGTGGCACTAGGGTGCCAAGTCCTAGAGAGCGCAGAGAGGCTGCTGCCGGGAGGGGCGGGGACAGGTGGGCAAACCGGTCAGGCGGGCGGCGCTCGGGCACCAGTTGGGCCTGTGCGGCAGACAGTCCTGTTGCGGGGCTGGCTGGGCAGCTCGGCCACGGGCAGGGAGCTGGGGCCGCGAGGCCGCCGCCAGGTAAGTATGGGGACCAGGGCTGGGGGGGCGGCAGGCAGGGCCCCCTAACATGTGGCCTCCAACCCTCACCACCCCGGGCCCCGCCACCCCCGCAGCGTCCCCGCCGGAAGCATCCTTCCCGCCTCTGCCCTCCGGAGCCCATGTACCCTGCCACGCTGCGCTCGGGAGCCGCTCCCCGAATGACCACCACAGTCTCACCGCTGCCCCCGCCCGTCCCGCTTCCCGCTTCAGCCCCGCGCTCTACCTGGCTCCGTGCTCTCCTCCACCCTGGGGTCCCGGCAGCCTCCCAGCCCAACCGCATCAGCCCCCCGCAGCCCCAGCCTATCCCCCAGTGTTACTGGGCCCCTGCACCTCCCCGGCGTCCTCACCTCCCTCCAGTCCAGGGTCTTCCCCACGGCCAGCCCCTCTCCAGCCTCCTGTGCGGCTGTGCCCACCTCTCTCACTTGGGCCTCTACCCCATGCCCGGGGACCCAACCAGGGCCATCCTGGGGCAGAGCAGGGACCCTGAGCTCAGCTCTCATCCGCCTCACTGCGCTCGCTGTGTCCCTCGCCCAGGAGCTGGCCCCCGAGGTTGCGGCCCGCCATGCAGAAGCACTACAGCACGCACCACACCAAGAGAGCCCGGACCCCCTCCGATGCCTGCTGCCCAGATCCAGAGTTAGGGCACAAAAAAGGTAAGGGTTGGGGGTGTGGGGTCATGGCAGGAGAGAGGAAGCGGGGAGCAGCGCTGAGTGGATGCTGCCAGCACCCTCTGAGGAGGCTTTTGCTGTTTGGGGGTGATTTTATTTTTGTTTGTTTTTGGTTGGCTGGTTGATGGATTAGTGCTGGGGGTTACACCCAGTCCTTTTTATTTTTTACTTTGAGACAGGGTCTCATTAAGTCACTAAATTCCCCAGGCTGGGCTTGAACTTTTGACCTTCCTGCTTCAGCCTCCCAGAGGGCTGGGATAACAGGCATGTACCACCACAACCACCTTGTTCTTTTGTTTTGTGTTTGAGATGGAGCCTGACAAGGTTGCTCAGGCTGGCCTCAAACTCCTGAGCTCAAGTGATCCTCCTGCCTCAGCCTCCCCGTGCTTGGACTACAGGAGTTTGTCCCCACTACCGGCTGGTAGCCCGGCCTATAGAGCCTTTGGTGTGGCGAGGCCCAGGAGGTGGGCACAGCGCCTGGGTCAAAGGCAGGAAGAAGGCCACTCTGGGGATGCGTCAGCCATCCAGCACCTTCGGGGGACGGCCCTCCACTTGGGGAAGCGGTGTAGGAGAGGAGGGGAGCCCTCATCTAGTGTCTCAGTGAGACAGGGGCAGCTACCTCCCACTAGGGCCCACTGGGTCTCCTGGGTCAGCACCTTCCTGAGCCCTGGGACAAGCCCGCCCCTCCCTCCTTGAACCTTGTCCCCACCTGTCACTCTGGCTGCTCTGGATCAGCCAGATCACTTCCTGGGAATTATGCTCAGAACCCCTCCCACCCGTGGAGACCCGCCCTGTGTCCCCCCTGGCTTTTCAGGGCCACTGGCACTCCCACAAATGATCCAGCCGGACTCTCCTGGTGTGTACTGACACCCAGGGTTGGGGACCCAGGCCCAGTCACCCCTACTTCCTTCCTTCCAGGATGCTGTCACCAGCGGCGCCAGGACCCAGCGGCCCCTCGAGCCCATGGGCTGGGTCGGCCTTCCCCCCAGTCACACTGGCAGCAGGCCTACTACAGCCACCGGGGCTGTGGCTGGCACCGGGGCCCCAAGGTCCCCGTCCTACAGCAGCAGAAGCAGCGGCAGCCCCAGCCTCCGCCTCCCAGCCCCGTGCGGCAGCGGCTCAGCCTGGTTCACAGGGCCCAGAGGGGGCCGCCCCCAACTGCCGCTGCCCCCACAGGACCAGCCAGCGCCCCCCAGCCACCCCCCATGCCCTCCACCTCACCCGCCACAGCACCTGCCACGACCAGCAGCGGCCCCGCCCTGCGCTCCGCAGCCCGCACCCTCCTGGAGCCCAGCGAGCCCACCAGTGCCCGGCCCCTGCCGGCCCCGGCAGCCTGCGGCTCCTTCACCTACGGCTCCGGTGCTCAGCCAGGCCTTCTCGGGGGCTCTGCCTGGCTCCTGCCTTGCTTCCGCCTGGGCTTCTTGCTCCCTGGCTGGCACCTCCGGGCCCCCTCCCATCCCTCACTCTGTTCCCCGCCCCTGGGTCCCAGGTGCTGCCTCTGCCTGCCCTGTCCACCTGTCGGGGTCAATGGCTTCTAGGCCAGGCCTGTGCTGGGCAGCAAGGGCCTCCCTCTCCACCTCCTGGGACCCTGGCTCTGCTTTCTCTTCCCCGTCCCCCCACCCTGGCTGGGCAGAGGGTGACGAGGACATGGGGCAGCCTGGTGTGGGGTAGACAGGCCTCATGCGGAGCTGCTGAGAGAGGTAGGGAGGGGCCAGGGCAGGGTGCCCAGTTGGAGGGCACCGCCCTCACGAGTACAGGTGGCCGGTGATGCGGTCCTGACCACTGCAGCCTGCCAGGGACTGTCTTGGGCACAGTGTGGAGCAGGGCACAGGTCTGTCATGTTCTGTAGGATGAGGGACAGAGACGGGAAACAGGATGAACAGGGGGAGATTAAAAGTGTCACTAGATGACAACCACACTGGGGAAAATAAAGCAGGGAGGGGGTGTAGGGTTTGGGGTGCAATAGCACCATGGGGCCTCCCAGTGGTGACCTCTGAACACACCCTGTGCAGCAGGGCCAGTGAGGCAGAGGCCCTCGGCAGCTCTTCCCGGGGCCACCAGGAAGGGGACCAGGACTTCCAAATGAGGCCAGGGCCACAGGAGGCTCTGGAAGGACGGAAGCCATGTCAGGAGCCACTGGAGTGCGGGCCACAGCAGGAAGGGTTCGAGGTGCTGGTGGCCTGACCAGGGTAGTGACAGTAGACATAGGGACATGCAGCTCTTTTGAGGTCTGGGTTGGGCACAGCCTTGTCATCAGAGCCTTGGGGCCAGGATGCCCTTTTCACACACAGGAAGAGCGGGTGTGTGAGGTGACACCACCCATGGATCAGGCAGAACCGGGAGTGGGTCTGGCCTGGCCTCTATCACCTTGGCTGACCTTGTCCTGAGTCTGCCTCCTGGCTCTGCCACCAGCCCCGGCCCAATTCCTGGAGTCCAGCCTCCCAGGTTTCTCCAAAAGTGGGTGTGTGGCGCCACCACGTACCAGAGGCAAGCCCGGCCGCCATGACTGAATGCCACTTCTTGGCACCCACATTCCAGGTCCAGGAAGTTAGGCACGGGACAGGGAGCCCTCTGCAGAGTGGACACCTGTGCTTGTTTGCAGAGCCACGCAGGGCTGGCAGTCTGTACCCTAGATGGCAATGGCATTGCCCTTTCCCAAGGGCCCAGCCATGCCCTTGGCATCCACGCCACCTGGTGTCTTCAGAGGAAGGGACTAAGCCTACTGGAGGTGTCACCTCCTGGGCCCTGCAGAGGAAGGGGCTGGGCCAGGGCTGGAAGCACAGTCTGGGCGCGGGGGAGTTAGCGACTTGCGAGGATGGGGTGGCGGCTGGGGAGAGAGGTCACTTGCAGCGGGGATGGGAGGTGGAGAGGAGCCTGTGGTCCTCGGGGCGAACCCACCCTGGTGCCAGGTGTGCAAGTGGGTGGGAGCTGATGCAAACTGGGAACTTGTGCGGATGGAGAGCACTGTCCCCATTCCAGTCCTGAGAAAGGTCCCCAAGCTTTGCTCCCAAGGGAGCCACAGGCTAGTGACCGGGCAAGCATGATCTGGGCCAGGACAGCCAGACTACCGCAGGTCCTGCGGGCCAGACCAGACCCTCTAAAAGGGCACATGTGGCCCTGGGAGTGGAGGCTCTGGCGGCCATGAGACCTCCCTCCATCTCCAGCTTTGACCTGAGTCACCTCCGGGAGGATGCTGGGGCAAGGAGGGGCCGAAGGCGGGGCTTGAAGGGGAGCGGGGAGGGTGGTGCCTGGCCAGCCTCACTGACTCAGTTTCCCCACCCCAATACCAGACATCCTGACAGAGGATGACGTCTACTGCAGCTGTCTGGCCAAGACTCTCTGCCACGTGCCCGTCCCTGTGACCGTGGGTTTCTATGCCCCCTTCGGCTGCCGACTGCACATGATGCTGGACAAGATCACCAGTGAGGATCTGTGGGGGCTGGGGGCAGGGGGGGACAAGAAATGCTCCATGGCCAGGCATGGTGATGCATGCCTGTTAGCCCAGCTCTCATGGGGCTGAGGCAGGAGCATCTCCATGAGGTCCTCGGGGCGAGGACATCTTCAAGGCCAGCCTGAACTGCATAGCAAGACCCTGTCTCCAAAAACAAAAAAAGAAACACTCCACAGAGGCCAGCCAGCCCCATCCATAATGCAGTAGTGACCAGTTCCTTCCCATGGTCACATCCAAGCCTCATCCCCTCCCTCTCCCCTCCTAAAATTGAGACTGGTCCTCTGTTGCTCAGGAGCCTCTGTTGCTCAGGAGCCGAGCTCCTCTCCCAAGCTGCAGGCTGCTGCCTGGCGCTCCCAGGCTGCCCTGTAGACGTGGGCAGTACCCAGTGTGGGGGTGTGGCCTGGCTCAGACCCAGGAGGGGCTGTGATCCCTCTGCATGCCCGAGCTAGCTTTTTGGGGGCATCTACTCAGGGACCCTCCTCCTGCCCCTGTGGGGTTAGGAGAGTGGAACTGGTCCCAGGGGGAAAGGGTGCCTTGGAGTTCCTGCCCCTACTTCCTGCCACACCACCTCCTCAGGGACCAGGGGACACGGTGACCCAGATAAGCAGGGCGCTGTCCTCTGACCAGAGTGGGAAGGGCTGAGGGCGCCTGGCCTGGCCTGAGATCAAGGAGGGCTCCCTGGAGGCGGCAGCACCATGAGCTCTGTGCCACAGGAGCAGTGAACCAGGAAAGTGAGGCCAGGGCTGGGACCCAGCGTCTCTCATTCATTCATTCCTTCGGCTCCCTTGGGTCCCCTTCCTTAGAGCCTTTTCAGGCCCGGTCAGTGTCCAGCCCAGGCAGCACCACCCCCCTTCCCCTGTCCTGGCTCTTCTGGCCCCTGCCTCCTCTCCTCTCTCCTCTAAGGAGCTGCTTCTGCCTTGACCCCCCAGTCTGGCCCTCACAGGGCTTCTGGTGCAGGCCTCTCCTCCCTCGCTTTCTGCACATGCACCGCGCTCTGTACGGCTGTCCGGGGCTGATCTGAAGCCCAGTGCAGCCCCCAGGCCTCTGGTCCACGGCCTGACTCTCTCCAGAGTTGCCCACTCACAGACTTGCTCCGTTTTTGGCCACGCCCCCACCGCAGCCACTCACGGGCCCTCTCTCCCCGCAGTGCTCATGCAGCAGGAGGCGACGCAGCGCGAGCTGGAGGAGCTGCAGCGCGTGCAGTGGCGGCCGCGGCAGGTGCGTGGCTGGGGCTACCCGCAGCTGCTGTGGTACCTGGTGTTCCTGCAGCCCATCATCACCGAGGTGCACCTGCGGCGCAAGAACGTGCAGTTCCTCTTCATCCGCTTCAGCGCCTGGCAGTATGCGGGCACGGACAAGCTGTGGGCCGGGCTGGTGACCACGCTATGCGAGGGCATCCGGCACCACTATGGCGCACTGCCCTTCAGCGTGTACTCCGTTTTGGGCAACAAGCCGGCCACGTCGCCGGGCTTCTGCCAGCGTGAGTGGCATTGCCGGCTCCGCGTATGCCTGGCGCTGCTGGCGCTGCTGGCGGCGCTGGCCCTGGGCGTGGGTCTGCTCTACCTGTCCCTCGGCGGCCTCAACCACACGGCCCCCGGCGGCAGCTTGCTCAAGATATTCGGCGGCGCGGCCACCACCCTGTCCGGCTCGGGGCTGCTCATGGCCGTGTACTCGGTGGGCAAGCACCTGTTCGTGAGCCAGCGCAAGAAGATCGAGCGGCTGGTGACGCGTGAGAAGTTCGGCAGCCAGCTGGGCTTCATGTGCGAGGTGAAGAAGGAGGTGGAGCTGCTCACAGACTTCCTGTGCTTCCTGGAGATCTACCAGCGGCGCCGGCTGCGCGTGGTGCTCGAGGTCACCGGGCTGGACACGTGCTACCCGGAGCGCGTGGTGGGCGTGCTCAACGCCATCAACACGCTACTGTCCGACAGCCACGCGCCCTTCATCTTCATCCTGGTCGTGGACCCCAGCATCCTGGCTGCCTGCCTCGAGAGCGCCGGCAACATGAAGGGAACGGCGGACAACGGCTACCTCTTCCTCAACCGCACCGTCACGCTGCCCTTCTCCGTGCCCATCATGGGCCGTCGCACCAAGCTGCAGTTCCTGCACGACGCCGTGCAGAGCCGCGACGACCTGCTGTTCCGCGAGATCACGCGCAAGCTGCGGCAGGCCGAGTGCCAGGCCGGCGAGGGTGTGCAGCTGCTGGCGGTGGAGACGCAGGCGGAGGCGGAGCGCGCGCAGGGCCGCATCGACGCCGAGGCGTCGCGTCGCATCCAGGAGGCGCTCTTCTGCCTACACGACGAGCACGACTGCCTGTACGAGTTTGTGCCCGATAACGTGGTGTCCATGCGGCGCATTGTCAACACCGTGCCCATCACCATGCGCCTGCTGCAGCAACAGCAGCAGACCGACTTCGTGCGCCCCACGCCGCGCCAGGCTGTGGCGTGGGTCGTGCTCGCCAACCAGTGGCCCTGCCGCCTCAGCTGGGTGCTGCAGTGCCTGGAGGACAGGCAGCAGGTGGGGGGCGAGCCCGAGGCCCACGTGCGCCTCTGGGACGTTTTCTGCGACAACAGCCGCGAGCTACACGGCATGACCAAGGCACTGCAGAACGTGCTGGACCTGGACGGCGACCCCGAGCTCTTTGAACGCTTCCTGGGGTCCGACTTCCCCTTCACTGTGGCCGAGGCACAGTGCCTGCTGCGCTGCACGGTCAACCTGGACCACTCCATCCGCCGGCGCATGGGGCTCATCCGGGCGGTCAGTGCTCTCAAGCCGCCCAGCCCACCCAAGTCCCCGGCCCGAGACGCGCTTTCTGCTGCCCATGGAGCCACTAACACCGCAGGGGCGTCCCCGAGAGGCCATGTGGCACTGCGCACCAGTGAAACCCACCATCCCCTGGACTGGGCCCACGGGGGCAAGCCGAGGCCGGCAGCCTGAGCGCCTCTCTCTCAGGGCGCAGCCGGATGGGCCCTGAATGGATGAGCCCAGGGCAGCAAGCCGTCCACTGTCCCAGTGAGGGTGCGGGGGCCACATCCCCCAGGTCACTCTGGCTGTCAGTGCCAGTGCCTCCCGGCGGGGAGGGAAGATGCAGTGAGGAAATCGGGGCTCAAGTGCAATAAATGATGTGCAAAGCCCTCCAGTGGATGTTTATGTCCTGGCTCCCTGAGGACTGGGGACCAGGCCTGCCCTGCCCTGCCCACTTCCTCCAAAAGGAGCCAGGCCTCTGAGCTGTGTGCTGGCAACCAGAGCTGGCATCCAGGTGGCAGGAGGGCTGCGGGGGCGGTGGGCGGGGCAGAGGAGACCAAAGGCGGATGTACCAGGTTGACTCAGGCAACCAGGAGGGCCCAGGCCTCAGGGAATCTGGGTCCTTGTCCCTGAGCTCTAGCCTGTCTTCTGCGGCATTTCCAAGGTGCTGCGCCCATTGACCTCAAGAGCTCGCTTCACCTTTAGCCAGCTGCGTGGTGGCACTATCACCCCAAGGGGAGTAACTGTCCAGGAATATCCTATGGGGTCACAGGAGGGCCACTCAGTGGCCATAGGCTGGTCACTGACACTGAAGTCACCTGATCGGCCCCTATTGAGGACTAGCGATTGGGACATTCCAACTGCTGAGCCAGCGACTGGGCTTTCATTATGGCTGGGCTGGGCACTGCCAGCTTGCTCACTGCCTGCCCCTTCCAGCAGTGGGACTGGCCTCACACCTAAGTTCCTAAGCCTTTATCTGGCACAGGCCCACACACACAGGCCCATGGGGTTCTTGGCCCAGTGTCAGGAAGCAGCAGAGACCAGAAGCCAAAGGCGTGACGTCTACGACAGGCCCCAGACCAGAGACCAGAGAGCTCGGTGAAGGCGCCTCCCTCAGGCCAACCAGGGCCTCAATATGGGAATGCTGGCCCCCCTTGCCTTCCATCCCAGGCCTGGCCTGCTCTTCAGACCACAGTGGTTGGTGTGCAGGTGACCCAGGTCAGGTCCCCAATGACTTTCTGGGACAGAGGCGTGATCTCAGCCACGAGTAGCCAAGCTGCTGGGATGAGTGTGGGCCTCCTGGGGGAAGAGGCCTCCAACCTAGGGAGCCCAAGGACAAAGCCCACAGGACATGGGCCTTGTGACTCCATCTGTCTTGTGGCTGTGAACACACTGGGGCTGGCACATGGCCGTCCCCTTTTGCCTTGCTCAGGCCAGTTTGAGGTGGGCTCGTTTCTGATGGCTGAGTCTGGTGGGACTTGGGGCACAGGACCCAGGCTGTAACTGCCCAGGACCTGCAGTTGCTGTTAAGATGGCCCCCTGCAGTGGCCAGTCTGTTGCCCATTTTGTTATAAGACTCTGGCCAAGGATCTGCCAAAACTAGGGTTCGGAAGACTTTGTAAACTAAACTTTTTTTTTTTTTTTTGAGGGAGGGGGCCAGGAATCGAACTCAGGACCTTGTGCTTGCCAGGCAGGTGCTTAGGCTGCTGAGCTACATCCCTGGCCCTGTAAACTAAACCGTAATGGGACGTCAGGGGATCCTGTGGCTGAGATGGCCCTGCCACCAGGACCCATGCTCCCCTAGACGGTGTGGAGCTTCTGTGGGAACTTACAAAGGCGAGGCCAAGGGGCTGCCACCCGTGGAACAGGTGCTGCAAGTGACTGTGCCTTCCCAGGGCGGCAGGGACAGTGTGGGGTGCCAGATACAGGGTACATGCCCAAGCTGCTTGTTGGCATTGTCTCGTGTTCAGCAGCTGCTGTTCTGTGTGTGATGATGCGTGTCTGCTGTGAGTCCCCACGTGTCACTACTGGCCAGGCACTGTGGGTTTCCCTTCTCCCCCTCCCAAGGGGACAAGGACGTCTGTCACCCTGAAAGACCGCAAACAAGCACTTGGGGAAGCTGCGTCCACGAGTCACTTGGTGCCTGCTACTCTCAACCCCACAGGAGTGACAGTAAACGGCGCCTGTCAGGGCAAAGGGGTCCTGAGGACGTGGCACAGCGTCGGGCAGTGACTGCGCAGACAGCAAACTGGCCGCTGTCGGGTGGCTGAAGGCAGAGGGAAGAACATCCTGTGGCTGTGGCCAGAAAGGCTCCCGGAGCGAGGCTCACAACTGCACGCGTCTCCTGGCTCACAGGTGTGGAGGCTCCAAGTTTTCCTCACACAGAGACACCTTCCTTGCCTCTTCCTGGCTTGTGGGACGTATCTGGTGACCCTGGAGCTGCCATAGCTTGTAACTGTGTCACTCCAATCCAGTCTCTGCCTTCTCCTGGTGGCTACTGGTATCCAAATTGTCCCCTTTGAATGTGTGTACATGAATGACAGTGTCTTAAACTGATCTTGAACTCCTGGGCTCAAGGAATCCTCCTGCCTCAGCCTCCTCAGGAGCTTAGATTACACTCATGCTAACCCCACCTGGCTGCAGTCGACTCCCTACCAGACCTGGTAATGGGGATGGAACCTAGAGCTTGTGGGTGCTAGGGAAGTTCTGTACCACCCAGCTCCGGGTTCCCTTTTATAAGCACACCAGTGGTTTGGTTAGGAGCCATCCTACTGAGCTCATTCCAAAGTGACTATCTCGGTGAAGACTGTTTCCAGTAAATTCATGCCCTGAGGTGTTGGGGATTAGGACTTGAGCATTCTTCTGATGCCCGACACAATCTAATCTGTAACCATGGCAAAGGCCCAGCTGGTCGCCCCAAGGTAAACACAGTGCAGGGGACAGGGATAAGGCTAGGAAGAGGACCTCAGCCCACCATGCCTTGAAGAGGCCAGGGCACACAGGTGAGCACCAGGGCCACTGCTCAGGGCCACAGCCTCCAGGGATTTAGGGTTAGGTACCAGCTGAAGCCTAAGAAGGCTAAACTCACTGGGACTGAACTCAAGGAGCCCAAGCAAAAAAAGGGCCGAGCTTCTCAGTATATTCTCCACAGCCATAGCTCCTGGTCCCACACAAGAGCTGGAATCTGCTGGGCGTGGTGGCGCACACCTGTAATCCCAGCACTCAGGAGGCTGAGGCAGGAGGATCCTTGCAAGTTTGAGACCAGCCTGGGCTTCAAAGTGAGCTCAAGGCCCGCCTGAACTGCATTGCGAGACCCTGTCTCAAAAAGACGAAAAAAACCAGCTGGAACTGGGCAGCTTGGAGGGGCCCCCAACCCCAACCTCCAAAGGGTCCTAGCAGAACTCAGAACAGGAAGACAAGCTGGCTAAGCTGGTGCCTCCCAGCTGCTTGGGACACAGATTGGATGGACGGGTGATGCCAGCTGGTGATAGTAGGGGTTCTAACACAGCTGTTCTGGAGACAGTGAGGACACCTCTAGCCACAAATGAGAAAAACAAAACTACGTGGCTCAATCCAGAAAGGTGGTCATGACAGGCACCAGAGTGCTGGGGTCTGTGTAGGAGCTGATAGGGACCAGGGCCCCGGCAGTGACCCGTCCATGCAGGAAAGGAGTGCAAGTGGGCACCTGCCTTGCGAGTGGGGTGGGGCTCCTACCCTGCCTGGACTCAGAGCTGGGAGCCTGGGACTGGGCCCCCAGAAAGGCCGTGTGCACCTGGCCTGTCCTGCGCATGGGCTACCTGCCCAGTTTTGCCTCTTCCGCCATCTGGTTCTCCTTTGGGGACCCCTGGTACTGACCTATGGGTGCGCTACAAGCAGGTGTTGTGGGGACCCCACCCACCTCACCCCACAGGGGTGCCCAAGGCCAGACAAAGCAGAGGGGCAAGTAGTGAGCCCAGCCCCAGTTTATTAGAAAAGGTGTGAACAGAGCCGCACCGCCAGTCCCCTCACCCGCCCGCCCGTAGTTGTAGTGCCTCCCAGGGCGCAGCCTCAGTGGCCTGAGCAGCAAGGTCCCCAGGTGCTCCTGGCTGCCACCCCAGCTCCCTGATAGATTTATTGCACTTAAGAGAAAGAAAGCTCTGATCCTTTGCACCCAGCCCCACCCACCCGGCCCTCACCCCGCCTGGGGCATTCTGGGAACTTCCACCACCAGCACCACCTCCTGTGCCACCTGCCTGGTCCTGGGTAGGGCCGAGGGGGCCACCTGGCCACCTTGGACTCCTGCTCTCCACAGGACAGGGCAGGCCAGGCTGGACAGGCTCTCCAAAACTGGAGCAGCCCTGCAGCCTCCTCAGCCTCCTCCCCCTGGCGTTCACCCCAGCCCCGAGTCCTCGAGTGTCAGACACATAAATAGACGCGCCGCGGCCTCGCTTGCAGCTGTAGTGCTCCTGGGGAGGGGTCCTCGGTGCCCCTGGCCCGGCATCCTGGGCCTCAAGAGGGCTGGGGTGAGGGTGAGCAAATTCTCATGGCTCTGGCCTCAGCTCATCCAAGACCAACGGGAAGGAAGGAACTGGGGGGGGGGGACAGAGAACAGGGGCACCGTCAGAATAAGGGCCCCCTGCCATTCCCGCCCCTGCGGCCCAGCCACCTACAGTGTCACAGTGTCTCCTGCGCAGCCTCCTGACTGGCCTCCAGAAGCAGCTCCTCCAGCGCCTTCTCATCCTGCGGGCAGCGCAGCTCTGCGGGGTGGCCTTCATCAGGCAGGGCAGCAGGGGGGCCCAAGGCCACATACTGCCCACGCCCCACCCCAGGACCATACCCCACTTGCTCCCACCCCTTCCTGGGTGGTTCCAAGGGAAATGGCCCAGCTGTGCTGGAGTCACACACACTGGGCCCTGGCCACCCCTAGTCTCTCACCGTGCTCCAGGCCACAGCTGCCTCCCTTGGCCTCAGGCCCCGGGGGTGGCTCTGGGGGCAGCGCAAGGGCAAACTCGGGCTTCAGGCCGTTGGGCAGCGGTGGGCCTGACTGAGGTGACTCCGGCTGAGGTGACCCCGGATCCTGGGTGCCAATGGTCTCGGCTGTCGGGAAGACAGGGGTGGGGAGCAGAGGTGGGGAGGGAGGGGAGGCGAGGCTAGGGGGTACAGGGGGCTCTGCCCTCTCAGGTGGACTCTCCACCCGGGTCACCACGAACACCTTGTGACCGCGGCCCGGGCTGGACACAGAAATCCGTTGCTCGGTGGGGGAGGAAGGGCTGCCTGGGGGGCTCCTGTCCCCAGGGCTGAGAGAGTCTGTGGGGGGCACCAGGGCAGGACAGGGGGCCGAGGGACTCTGGCCACTGCTGATCTCTTTCCTCTGCCTGTCCTCCTCCTCCTCCTCCTCCTCCTCCCCATC